CAAACACTCGAACAAAGGACTGCTCCTGGTTGGCTTTTTATTTGGCTCTGCTGCTGCTGCTGGTCGGGAAACAGGCTTTGGCTCAGATAAGGTACTCTGTTCCCGAGGAGGTACAAGACGGAACTGTTGTTGGAAATGTTGCCAAGGATCTTGGCCTTGACATCACCTCTTTGATTGCTCGACGGTTCCGTGTTGTGTCTGAAAGTAAGGACGCTATTTTTGAAGTAAACCAGAATAATGGAGCACTGTACGTCAACAAGCATATTGACAGAGAGGAGCTGTGTCAGGGCAGCGGTGCATGTCTCATGGAGCTAAAAATCCTAGTTGAAAACCCTCTGGAAATACACTATGTAGTTGCAGAAATTACTGATGTAAATGATCACTCTCCTAGTTTTCCTGAAAAAGAACAGACATTTGAAATAGCTGAGCATACATTACCAGGAAAGCGATTTAAACTACACACTGCTCGTGATCCCGATGCTGGAATTAACTCTATTCGTACATACACTTTAACATCAAATGAACATTTTGAAATAAAAATCCGACAAAGCGAAGAAGATAAAATACCATTTTTAGTGCTGAAGAAATCGTTAGACAGAGAACAAAAGAACAAACACACGCTGCTGGTTACAGCAGTTGATGGAGGCAAACCTCCAAGATCAGGGACACTGAACGTTTCTATTATTGTTCTTGACAGTAATGATAATCGCCCAATGTTTAGTCAGGAGATTTACCAGATTTCTATCATGGAAAACGTTGCAATCAGTACGTCAGTCTTTAGAATGAATGCAACGGATCTCGATGAAGACAGTAATGGAGAAGTTGAATTCAGCCTCGGAAAAACCTTGCGGCGGAAAGTTTATGATATTTTTGAACTGGACAAATTAACTGGAGAGATTAGAGTTAAAGGGGCAGTGGATTATGAAGAAAACGATGTATATGAACTGGATGTAGAGGCTTCAGATAAAGGAACACCTCCACTGACAGGTGAGTGTAGAGTCATTATAAAGACAATCGATGTCAACGACAATGCGCCGGAAATAGTAGTCACATCACTTTCAAATACAGTGTCTGAAGACTCAAAGCCTGGTACAGTTGTTTCGCTCATCACTGTGAGGGATAAAGACTCCGGTGTGAATGGAAAAATTATTTCGCTCATATCGAATGACGTGCCCTTTGAATTAAAGCCCTCCTATAAGGAGAACACGTACTCGGTTGTCACTAAAGAATTTTTGGATCGAGAGGAGGTGTCACATTATGACATTACAATAAAAGCTACAGATTGTGGTGAACCTCCCTTATCTACTGTTAAAACTCTCAGTATTGAGATATCAGATGTAAATGACAACAGTCCACATTTCGACCAAAATCCATTACAGTTTTACCTGGTAGAAAATAACGTTGCTGGAAATTCAATATTCTCTGTCAGCGCAACGGACAAAGATTTGAATGATAACGCAGCTATTTCCTATCATATTGTGAGAGAAGGGAGTCAGAGTGACGTCATGTCTTTCCTAAATATAAACCCAGATAATGGACACATTTCCGCACTAAAAAGTTTTGACTTTGAAACAGTGAAAACTTTCCAGTTCCAAGTTGTCGCCACAGATTCAGGAACTCCGTCACTAAGCAACAACGTGACAGTGAACGTGTTCATTCTGGATCAGAACGACAACGCTCCAGTCATCCTGTATCCAGTCAGCTCCAACGGTTCTGCTGAAGGTGTGGAGGAGATTCCCCGCAATGTCAACGCAGGACACTTGGTGACTAAAGTCAGAGCCTATGACGCTGATATAGGATATAACGGCTGGTTACTCTTTTCACTGCAGGAAGTCACTGACCACAGTCTCTTTGCTTTGGACCGCTATACAGGACAGATCAGAACACTTCGCTCATTCACAGAGACAGACGAGGCTGAGCATAAACTGCTCATACTGGTCAAAGACAATGGCAACGTTTCACTCTCAGCAACAGCTACTGTCATTGTCAAACTTGTGGAGCCCAGAGAGGCTTTTGCAGCTTCTGATGTTAAAAGTGCAACTAAAGTTGACGAGGAGGACAATGTGACATTTTACCTCATGATAACTTTGGGCTCAGTTTCTCTACTTTTTATCATCAGTATCATCGTGCTGATTGCAATGCAGTGCTCCAAATCCACAGACTATACTTCCAAATATCTCCAAGAGGCTAATTATGATGGGACACTGTGTCACAGCATCCAGTACAGATCTGGAGACAAACGCTACATGTTAGTTGGACCCAGGATGAGTATAGGATCAACTATAGTCCCTGGCAGCCATGCCAACACACTAGTGCTCCCTGACAGGAGGAGGGGATCTGGAGAGGTAAGGCATATTTAAATATGTTCTTGTAGGCTGGTGTCCAGAATCACAGTCATGGATGGACTGATATGTTTGTGACTGTGAACACTTTAGGCTCACAGTGTGAACCTATCCGACTTGTTGTTGTGTGAGATGACCAGTGAATGGCCTCTTCATGTACAGTAGCTGGTACTTTGTCAGTACGATTATACATCCATTTTTGTGTTGGAATCGCATGGTGGCACTAAACAACCAGAAATAAGCATCACAGCAGTTTCCCATCCCTCGGTCTGTGAGACTGCCTCTGAAGCATTCGGGAGGGCACGTCATTATCATGCGAGTGTGATTTTGTTGTAGCGATTTTCTCATCCATAGAAACCGAGCGCATTGTGGGGATTACTTCTTCAGTTACTGGATATGTAAACAGCCTGCAGTTCACTTGGTATTTTCTGGATTTATCAATTGACACCAGACAATGGAACAAAGCCGACATGACTCCTGGCGACAAGGAGGTAAATGGGTGGCCCTCGTGCTGGCTTTTTGTTTGGTTTTAGACAAAGCATCTGGACAGATCAGATATTCTATATCGGAAGAAATCAAAGAAGGGACAGCCGTCGGAAATATAGCAAAGGATCTGGGAATAGATCCAAATATATTAAAAACAAGGGGATTTCGTATTGTCTCTGGCTCCACTGATCCTCCCTTCCAGGTAAACCAAAACGACGGGATTTTATATGTAAATCGTAAAATTGACCGTGAGGAAATATGCCAGCGGACGAGTGTGTGTTTGATAAACCTTAAAACCGTGCTAGAAAACCCTCTGGAGATCCATTATGTCGCCGTGGAAGTGTTAGACGTAAATGATCATTCGCCCTCTTTCCCGGAGAATAACAAAAGGCTCGAGATTTCAGAGTCCACTTTACCGGGAACCAGGTTTCAGCTGCATGCTGCTCTCGATCCAGATGGAGGTGTGAATTCAGTGCAACAATATAAACTCAGTCCCAATAATAATTTTCGGCTTGAAGTTAAAGATCGCGGGAAAGATGGCAAAGTGCCTATTTTACAGTTGCAGAGCCCGTTAGACAGAGAGGCCTCTAGCAGCCACAAACTGCTGCTCACAGCCCTGGATGGAGGTAAACCTCCTAAAACAGGGACCGTGGAGATATTTATAGATGTTTTAGATGTGAACGACAATGCGCCAGTTTTTACAAAAGATGTGTATTCTGCAGAGATAAGTGAGAATTCACCAGTTGGAACAATAGTTATACGAGTAAATGCCACAGATAGGGACGACGGCGCAAATGGAGATGTTAGCTATTTTTTCGGCGATGTAAATAGTAAGGTGCGCGAACTGTTTGATGTTGACCCGATCACAGGTGAAATAAGTGTGAAAGGACTATTAGATTATGAAGTGGATGAAAGCTACGAGATAGATATTCAAGCATCTGACAGCGGTGCTGTCCCACTTAGAACGGATAAAAGCGTCACTGTAAATATTAAAGACGTAAACGACAACGCACCTGTAATTGAGGTGACGTCACTGTCTAACAAAATTTCAGAGGACTCCAGACCAGGAACAACAGTAGCACTTCTTAGTATTATCGATTTGGACTCTGGAGTGAATGGGAAAGTTATCAGCTTTGTAAAAGACGATGCCCCCTTCACACTAACGCCTTCAATCCAGGACAACATGTACGCTGTCGTGACAAAATCACAGCTTGACAGGGAAAATAAATCGACTTATGATGTAACAGTCATCGCAAAAGACGCAGGTGAACCTGCCCTAACATCTGAAAAGACATTAAGAGTTGTTGTATCTGATGTAAATGACAACAGTCCAGAGTTTTCAGTGAGTCAATATAATTTTTATGTCACCGAAAATAACGCACCAGGAGTGTCGATGTTTTCTTTAAGTGCGTCTGATCGTGATGAGGGAGATAATGCGCTTATTTCCTATCATATTATTAGAGATGCAGCTCATTCAAATAAAGTGACATCATTCCTTAACATAAATCCTGAAAATGGAGATATTTTGGCACTAAAAAGTTTAGACTTTGAAACAGTGAAAACTTTCCAGTTCCAAGTTGTCGCCACAGATTCAGGAACTCCGTCACTAAGCAACAACGTGACAGTGAACGTGTTCATTCTGGATCAGAACGACAACGCTCCAGTCATCCTGTATCCAGTCAGCTCCAACGGTTCTGCTGAAGGTGTGGAGGAGATTCCCCGCAATGTCAACGCAGGACACTTGGTGACTAAAGTCAGAGCCTATGACGCTGATATAGGATATAACGGCTGGTTACTCTTTTCACTGCAGGAAGTCACTGACCACAGTCTCTTTGCTTTGGACCGCTATACAGGACAGATCAGAACACTTCGCTCATTCACAGAGACAGACGAGGCTGAGCATAAACTGCTCATACTGGTCAAAGACAATGGCAACGTTTCACTCTCAGCAACAGCTACTGTCATTGTCAAACTTGTGGAGCCCAGAGAGGCTTTTGCAGCATCTGATGTTAAAAGTGCAACTAAAGTTGACGAGGAGGACAATGTGACATTTTACCTCATGATAACTTTGGGCTCAGTTTCTCTACTTTTTATCATCAGTATCATCGTGCTGATTGCAATGCAGTGCTCCAAATCCACAGACTATACTTCCAAATATCTCCAAGAGGCTAATTATGATGGGACACTGTGTCACAGCATCCAGTACAGATCTGGAGACAAACGCTACATGTTAGTTGGACCCAGGATGAGTATAGGATCAACTATAGTCCCTGGCAGCCATGCCAACACACTAGTGCTCCCTGACAGGAGGAGGGGATCTGGAGAGGTAAGCTGGTTTACATCACCAAATATTTGGTTTAAGTTTTAATTCTTACTGTGTTTCCTAAAAACCTTCACGGCTTAACTTGGGTACTAGTACACACATTTATTGGTTTGTTTTGTTGAGGGAATGACTCTCCAGGCGAGTCTGAGTAAAACTTTGTTCAGACATGTTTGTTACAGATGCTGTTGTGTCTTCAGAATAGTAGTTAGTTTGTCAGTCTACTATTTTGTGACTTAGCTTCCTGCTTCTGTTTGCAAGAACTTCTTTATGAGAGATCCTTTCATATGTGGACCTTGTAAAACATACCTATACCCTCTCCTCGTCATTGTGAACACCAGAGATGTTTTTATACAATGAAATGAATTCTTCATTTTTACAAGTGAGAGAATAGAAAAAGCAAATGCCTTACTCGACTGCAACCTCTCTTGTGGAAATAGCTTTGCCAACAATCATCTATAGCTGTAAAACATTTTTAAACAATGGCTGCCTACACTGATATGCTGTTAACAATTCACGTTGGTAGTATTTATCATAACTGTGCAAAAAACATAATAATTGAAAGCCACAAACAATGTGGTTAAGACAGAAAAGACTGCAAGTTTGTTTGGAATCGCTATCCATGGTGCTGAAATGTCTTGCCCTAACTTTTTTCAAGCAATAATATGAGCAAAGCAAAAATCAAACAAGCAAAAATTAAAAATAAATAAACACATCAGTGGCTTAGGTTTTTTTTTTTATCAGACACTGAATTTATATTACCACTTAGAAGAGGTTATTATTGAGTTTTTTGTTGGGCATAGAATATCAGTAAGTCATGCTGTTATTTTCTGTGTGTAGCAGAGGTTACAAACATGTACATAGCTGTAAGAATGTCAGAGCCTTGTGCATAGCATTACAAGTTTGTGAACATGTTGGTTTTTAACAACCTGCTTTGTCACCGCTTCTCTTGTGACATCTCAAAGTGGATTTTCTGATTAAAGAAAATACTCTGCTATAATATTTTCACAACTTAATATCGTCTAAAATGTTGTCCTATTGGTGTCACTGTAGCACCAATAAGGCCATAAAGGGACTCAGTCCCTCCCATAAGAAAGCTTTTGTTTGGTACATCACAGCAGAGGATACATCTCATTCACGGCTGCGAATTGGATGACACGGTGTCGTGGGCTTTTCAAACATGCGATACTAAACGGACTGGATTTACACATTTGATTTGCTGCAGAAACAGGCTCCTGTGTGTGAGGATATGTGTTGTTTCATAACAATGGGGACTGAAAGACGATATCGCGCAAGTGACTACTGTTGGGTTGCTTTTCAGTTGTCCTTTCTGCTGATTTTCGGAGAGCAGGCTTTGGCTGAATTAAGGTACTCTATTCCAGAGGAGATGAAAGAAGGCACAGTTGTTGCAAATGTCGCTAAGGATCTTGGTCTGGATAAAACCTCTTTGATTGATCGCAGATTTCGAGTTGTTTCTGGATCTAAGGACGCTTTTTTCGAGGTAAACCCGGACAATGGAGCCTTACAGGTCGGTAAAAAGATCGACAGGGAGGAGCTGTGTCACGGTAGCGGTGTGTGTCTGATGGAGCTGAAAATCCTTGTTGAAAACCCTCTGGAAATGCACCATGTTGTTGTAGAAATAACTGATGTAAATGATCACTCGCCAAGTTTTCCTGAAACGGAACAACAGTTTAAAATAGCAGAGCATACATCTCCGGGAACGCGATTCCAACTGCTTGCGGCCCGTGATCCCGATGCTGGAATGAACTCTATTCGTACATACACCCTATCATCAAATGATCACTTTGAAATAGATACTAGTCAAAATGATGAGGACAAAATTCCGTTTTTAGTGTTGAAGAAATCGTTAGACAGAGAAAAACAGAGTAAACATTTGCTATTTGTTACAGCAGTTGATGGAGGTAAACCTCAAAGATCAGGCACACTGAACGTTTCTATTATTGTTCTTGATATTAATGATAATCGCCCGACATTTAGTCAGGATACTTATCAGATAGAAATATATGAAAACGCCCCAGTTGGTACTACTGTCACAAACATTAATGCGAAAGACCCAGATGAAGGGACTAACGGAGAAATAGAGTACAGCCTTAGCAAAACATTAGCACGAAGAGTCTACGAGATATTTGAACTGGATAGTTTAAGTGGAAATATAAAATTAAAAGGAGAGGTAGATTTTGAAGAATCGGAG